TTGTTGAAGAGACAATCGAGACTAAAATGAGCTTCCGGAAGTAAAGTCAGAGTTTTCTTAGCTTTCACACACGCAATGCGCAATCGTTCACGTTGCTTCTTCTCCTTCACTATGTATTCATGTCTGCCCTGAATGACTCCCACACAATGGTCAACCAACTCATCGTCCAAGTTGCAGCCACCAATGTTCGTGTTTCCAGCAGCAGCCATGACTTGTACCGATCCATCCCTCACCTTCATGATGGACACATCCAGCTTGCCCGCCCCGAAATCCACCACCGCGATAACCGCGGGGGTTTTGACGGTGCGGTTGTCCACGAAGGCGACCCCCGCCGCGGTTGTTTCGTTGATCAGCTCAAGAACTTCAAGTCCTGCGACTTGCGCGGCGTATTTTACCGCGAGTCGCTGCGCGTTGCCGAGAGGATTCCGGGGTCCACGAGAAGAGGTCCAGAGGTTCCGGGGTCTGCGCGGTCCACGGGACAACCCAGAGAGGATTCCGCGATGTCCTTCATCTTCCCGAGCAGCATGGCGGCCACCTGCTCTGGTCTCAACCTTCGTACGAAATTTTTGTACTGGACGACGTACTGGCATTCATTATCGTAGTAATTTTTCTCAATTCCGCAGAGAGAAGACATATCCTTCACTTCTTCGTAGGTCCTCCCCAGGAAGCTCTTGACGGCGTGCACGGTGTTGGCGCAGTTCACAACGGCCTGGTCCAGGGCATCGCTGCCCACTAGTCGCTGCTGGGAGTTGAAGGCAACACAGAAAGGCGTCGTCTTTTGCCCCAACTCGTTCTCCAGGACGTCCACCCGACCGTCGCGCACCGCAGCCACGCAGCATTTGCTCGTCCCGAAGTCGATGCCGATCGCCGCAGGTCTCGGCCGGCCGCCCCCCTCCGGCGGTGGCGCGGGGTCCACGGGGGGCATGGAGACCGGGCTGTCGCCTGCACATGAGATGAAACTAATGAACATAATCGCAGATAAAAATAAATGACGTATACATTTTAGCGATTTCCATTTGTTTTTGAACTGGAACGATTTGAGCGTGAAATTTTGTCATTTAACACGAAAAATTCAGTATGGATTACATGCAAATAACAATTAAAACGTGAGTAAAAGAGGATTATTTGCTGTTCGCAGAAGAAATTCTCAACCTTCACCTCTCACTTGCTTCAAAATTAGGCGCCTTCGAAAAATTTCATTTTTAAATTATTCTCTCACTTTCGAAATTACGAGCCTAGTCCCAAATTCAGCCATCAAACTCGGTACAACTTTGAGAATAGTATTTTCAATACAGTGGTTTTATAACTTAGCAAGTAGTAATGAAACCCTTGTAGCTGATAAAACCGAAGTTCGATCCCTCAAATATACTGTCTTAGTACCGCACTGCAATTCAGAAATTTCAGCTAACAAGATCAAATGCAAGCTAGCAATCATCTTTCTCAAGTCGCTGACTGAACACCGCATCCCGTCATTGCGCTCGTGTATCGCCGACTGAGTCTCGTCTCGTCCTGGCCATTTTGAGCGGTCGAGACGCTCATATCTCGTGCACCACTCAACTGTCTCGGCAACTTTGAGTGTTCAGAACCGCAGTTTTCAGTCCACAAGTGTCACGAAGCAGCACCTGCGCACCTGTCTGTATTCCCGCGACCTGCAGCCATGAGCAGCACCTGCAGCGCACCTGTCTGTATTCCCGCGACCTGTAGCCATGAGCAGCACCTGCGCACCTGTCTGTATTCCCGCGACCTGCAGCCATGAGCAGCACCTGCGTGCCTGTCTGCCATCTCTTTCTCTTGATCTCAAACTAAACTAAATGTTGCGCTCCTTGAAATGGAAGAAATTATAAGAAGTGCCGATCACTTACCAAGTAGTCAAGTCTGTAATAGTAGCATATGATTATTTAGATTATTATTTTACTTCAAACATTTATAATTGTATGCAACCATGTCATAAATTTCTAAGAAACATAATAAGCTGCAACTTCATAAAATCACAATTTGATAATTTATCAAGTGTCTCGAACAGCTTTGCCTCGTTCTTCTTTATATTCACAATAAATTGCATTTATTCCAGCAGCATATTTCCACGAATATTATCCAAATTAAATGCTTTCCGTACAGGACAGCGCCAAAAAGTGTAGGACAAGGGTTAACAGATTAGGATGCTGCACAATTGCGCAAAATATTCAGACAGAATTACTTGCTACCTCCCAGCACAGTTAAGCTTACCTTTCAAAACCACTTTTCCCGATGAAGAAAAAAGAAGCAATAAATAAGAAGCGTATCCAAATAAATGCCTGACTCTATAATCTACACACATCTTAAACTCTCATATTATAATTTCAGTCAGGGAGATTAACAATAAAAATAAATGTACACAATTGTCATCGTGTGGATTTTGCTTATTTCGTTGAAATCTGCCAAATCAAGTAGTCAGGAATGACTTGACGAATAAGCAGTTAGGAATAAGTTGAATAATAACAAAGAGTCAACAATCGTCAATGAAATGCAAATTTATATAATTTATCCATTGTTGGTGAATATTGAACGGGCAAATCCGAAGAGACTGTAGTTTTCTATTAGTAGGAAAATTTATATTTACAATAAACTAACGCACGAAAGCCTGACCCGATTATTACTATTTCGTGAGCACACTAAACGATATTTTTTGCCATATTTTACTAAGTAAATGGTAGAGTCTTTTCTTGAAATAGACAATTTGTATGTTGTGAAACTTGCAGTTAAGATCAGCAAGATTGGATCAGCGAGTTACAGGTTCGAGAGTCGGAACTCGCAACTAGTTATGAAAATTTTTTTGGTAAATGGCAAGGGAGTGGGTAGTTAAGAATCGACTACAGGCAAACATGGCCTTATCAAAGCTGACGCCAGCACTATGATATATTGTGTTATTCTTTCCATTTTATTGCAACACCGCTGCAGCACAAGCGAGTGCCATCTAAAACTTGAGATTACTCGGCCTTCAATCAGCTCATCTCATCACATACAAAATTCTTGCACTAGGACAACCGGCTACTCTGCTCTCATGTTCCATACTTTGTGTTTGCATTACAAGACAGGCACAGCGAGTGTAATTGTTAGGGATCCTAATTGGCATAAACCGACGCCATCTGATAGAGTCATAGACTCTATCAGATGGCGTCATAGACTCATAGACTGATAGACTCTATCATAGACTCATAGACTGATAGAGTCATAGACAAGCGGGCACTCAAGTAACGAAAAAAAAATGCAACGAGAGAAGACTATAAGCATTACTTATATTGCTAACCAAACGCAGATAGATAAGAAAAACTGAGAATAGTTCATAATTGCTAGAACCAAATGTAATAATTCAATACGATTCAACGGGTCTTGAGCAGGTATAAACCAGATCATCCAGATGCGGCAGAATGATGGCCAAAGTTACTAACTTCTACGTAGCCTAAACTGCACCTAATTTCGTGTCGATATTCGTTCGTTTACAGGCAAGCGAGCGCTACACCGAAGGCGCAGCCGCGCAGACGATGAATTCACACAGGTTTTGCTGAATATTTGAATACGTGCTATATATATTGTATTGTAGAATGTAGACGGCTTCATACCTTATTTAGGTGCTAGAGTCAGCCAAATAAACATGATTTATTTGGCTCAATAAGTCCAATACGCCATAGAAAATATTAATTTATTGTTTCGTTATCAGTTGTTCTGCGTACCTAAGCTTCGTCTTCACCCAAATTGCGATAATGATATACTGCGAGTTTGACATCGAACATGAACAAATATTATCGATTAAAAGTACAAATACAACTCATTAGATCTAATAATCAATAGGTAATAACTGTACTGAATCAGTAAAATCCTATTCACAATGGGATAACATACCTTAAGTTAGATGTATGAGAGCACGTAAAGGGTAGACTTCAAGTCACATGAAGTGAACTCTGTGGCCAAGATCGCGCAGGTTTGGAACCAAAGGATCGTTTAACTTGTGTTTTATGGGTTCTTAAAGTATAAGAAATAACTCACGATATTATAAAATAGTTTTTTCTCTCTCACAATTAATAACAGATCCTAAAACCTGATATTTACAAGTCTATTTATCACAGCCAAGTAGCTACTCCACCTCCACTGTCTTGCTGTAATCTCGTTTGATTCAGCAGGCAGGCACGGCAGGGAGACAGTGGCGGAAAGCGAACTGCAATAGAACGAATTATTGCCGAGTGTCGCCGTGCGTGAAATTCGATGCTCATACGGTCATATATGAGTATAAATTCATATTTAGAGCACCATTATATGATTAAAAGATAACAATGATAAATTATTTTCAATAAAAGTCGACCTAGCTGCAACCGAGTGAGCTAGGGCTGTTATTATATACCCATGAGGCTGTAACACGTCACGGACAAGCAAATCGTTACAAAGAAATCATTGCAACAAATTCGCTGGTAAAGATGAAAATAGAAAGAATTACAACGGAAAAATTCTTCACTTCGAGATGGGAAACAGATACATCGAACTTTGAGTTAAAGAACTCGTTCGGAACAGCATTGAACGAGGGCGCTGTCAGGTCCCGCCATACGCCATCATCAATGGAGACTGGAACACGGTATTAATTCAAATAATGTGTGACCAGTGTGACCTTTAAAAATTAACTGCATTTAATCCAATCTATATATATATAAAGGAAGATTATTACCGTATCTTCAAAATGCTTGGTAAAGATCACCACTTAACTGTAAACCGTACATAATTTTTCTTAGATTACATTTATCTAGACTGGAAGTTTGGAACTAGGCCGCCAGATATATGAAAAAATCGTACTGAAAAAGTTACGATCGGATTTGTTGCTAATTTTACTGACAAGCCTCGCCAGTAGAATTATGATGAGTGGCGGTAAAGCGTTTCCTGTTACCAACTACCAATTAATTTAAAGCATTCCCTGTTACCAACTACCAATTAATTATAGGCAGTTGAATTTTGAAACGCAAACGCCATTCTTGTGAGGTTATTCGAACGGAAGGTGCGTCACGGGTGAGTTCAGGTTTGATATTATTTACCCTCTTATTGGACCATCTATAATTGACATGTCATGGACAAAACATCTATGAGAATACATCATCATTGGTGAAGTTGAGGATATGCGGGTATAATATTTCTCACCTCAGGGCAGTGAAGATAATTCGATCTTCGTGCACATGTCGTGAGGAATTCGTTAGATGTGCTGACTCGAAGGTTGGGCTCTAATAACCGAGTGATTGTTATTTTCGTATAATGAATTAGAACTTATTTATGACGATCTTTTTTATATCAATCATGTTGTTTAATTCAGCTGTGTTAAACTTGAAAATAATTTTAATCTGTTGTTGATTCACAATGGTAATTTTTTAATTGTGATGTAAAATTTGGAGTGAATTGGCTATTATATTTCTATTCATGATTCAGTCATCTGTGTTGGAAACAATCCCGCCTACCTATAATGATTCAAACATTTGTTTTACGCAAAAATTGTTAGAAATAACAAGATTGATAAGAAAAGCAAGTGAATTTAAGCTAGGCTAACCGAAACTATTGGAAAACTTTTTCGGCTCAAAATCAAGGAGATTAGGAATTAGGTAGAAATCCAGAAAAAAAACATTCTGGAGTATCACTTTATTTTCCGACCAATAACTGCGGTTATTCAAGCAATATTCTATTATAACCTTGTCTGCATCGTCATGAGTCATACCTACACAACGATTAACTTGAAACTCTTCTCTCGATCTACCGAATAGGCCAGAGTGCCAAACTTCAAAGTTTCAAATACCTATCTCTGTCCTGTCTCACTTACTTAGACAAGATATTATAAATATTTGACGATTCTATCAAAAATACGAGCTAGTATTATGAAGAATTTTGAGGTCAAAATATTAAAATCGTCAGAAATTGCTGAAATAAATTCTTGTCTTGTCTATTCCGATGTTCGGCTGCTGACTGCTGTGCTACAATAGCGCTGATGCAAGTGGTAGGTATATATATATATATCACACCTTGGCTAACTTCACACATGAATCAATGACAAATGTGACATGTACGCAAAATTTGCATTAAAAATCGCCTGAAACTAATGTTTTTTCATAATTGCAGATTAATTCAATTTTCGAGCTGCTAATATCCCGAGATGGCGGCGAAGCAAGACTACGCGATCGGCATCGACTTGGGCACGAGCAACTCGTGCGTGGGTGTCGTCAAGTACGGACAAGTGGTCATCATCGCAAACGAAAAGGGCGACCGCCTCACGCCGTCGTTTGTGGCTTTCACGGACGAGGAACGACTTATTGGTGAGTCGGCCAAGGACGAACGCTCCATGAATCCTGTCAACACAGTATACGAAATGAAGCGACTAATTGGACGCAAGTTCAGCGATGAAGCAGTGCAGAATAAAGTTCCCCACTGGCCGTACCGCGTCGTCAACGACAACGACAACCCCAAAATCTGCGTCCAGTACCAAAGGACGGAAAAGATTTTCACTCCCGAAGAGATTTCTGCTATGGTGCTGGCCAAAATGAAGAAGATTGCGGAGACTTATTTGGGATGTGAAGTGAGGAAAGCTGTTATTACGGTGCCTGCGTACTTCAGTGACTCACAACGGCAAGCTACAATCGATGCCGGTACCATCGCTGGTCTCCAGGTACTGAAAATCATCAACGAACCAACGGCTGCCGCCATTGCGTACGGTGAAGACAACAAGGTCTCCAAGGAGATCAACATTCTGATCTTCGACTTCGGCGGCGGGACTTTCGATGTGTCAATCCTGATAATGAAGAAAGGCAATTACGAAGTAAAATCTGTTGAAGGAAACAGCCAGCTTGGAGGAGGGGACTTGGATTCTCGTGTTGCTCGATTTATAATCGAGGAATTCAAGAAAATAACTGGCCTGGATGTATCTAAGGACCCGAAAACTCTAGCAAAGATCACAAAAGCTGCCGAAAAAGTCAAGATCAAGTTGTCTTCTCAAGTGAGGGGTCGAATTCAAATCGAGTGCTTGAGTCAAGGTCAAGATTTGGAACTGCGTTTGACCCGTGACTGGTTCGAGTGGCTCTGCGCCGACATTTTCGACCAAACCTTGCAGTGCGTCGACACTGCGATTGCCAACGCCGGGATGACAACCGATGAAATTCATGAAGTGGTCTTGGTCGGCGGCTCGGCCAGGATCCCCAAACTCCAAAAGATGCTCAAAGATAAATTCCCAACGAAAGCAATTAAAATGACCATCAATCCGGATAAAGCTGTCGCGTACGGCGCTGCTGTTCAGGCAGCCATGCTCAACAACGACCGGAGTGTTGAAGACATTCAGCTGTCTGACGTAACTCCTCTGTCCTTGGGAGTGGGCCTTATTTATGACAGAATGGACATCATCATGAAACGAAATACCAAAATACCTGCTACGATAACGAGAAAGAATTACACGACTGCCGACTTTGATTATCAAGAAATCATAGATTTCCCTGTTTATGAGGGTGAGAACTCCATTGCATCAAAGAACAATTTGTTGGGAGAGTTTACGGTTAAAGGAATCGAATTAGCACCCGTTGGTGTCCCTAATGTTGAGATAACGTTTTCCTTGGACAAAAACGGAATTTTGAACGCGACCGCCGTGGACACGAAGACAGGAGGGGAAGGCCACGTGACCATCTTCCTCAATAAAGGCCGTCTTAAGAAGGAGGAGATCGAGAGGATGATGGTCGAGATGAAGGATATCGAAGAAAAGGAGGATAAACACCGTGCATTAATGGACGCTTCTGCCTCTTTGGAGGAAACGATCGTGAAGAAGAAGGATCTTCTTTAACGTAAAAAGAGCCACAAGAAAATATCTCAAAAAGGCTACGAGAAAATCAAGAAGGTGTGAGAAGAAGCCGCGGTTTGGTTGGAGGCTCACGGCGACGCAAGCAAGGATGAGTTTGATGATAAGGAGCAGCAGTTCAACGAGTCTTTCTCTGAACTCTTGGCCGACCTCAGCTTCTGAACTGCTGCTTGTTACGTGGCAGCAGCAGTCCAATTGCCGCTTGTTACGTGGCAGCAGCAGTCCAATTGCTGCTTGTTACGTGGCAGCGGCAGCTCAAGACTCCATCACGCGTTAGACAATTTTGAATATTTTACTGCGCATTTAATTAGTGCACCGCAATAAACTGAAATAATCATGAATATATCGACGCGTCCGTAGGCAAGGAGGGCGAAGTGTGGGATCAGGGCGCAGCCGTGAGCATTTCATGCTGTTTATTTTTAAGGTCTGCATTATTTTAAGAGGCTTTATTCCGTAAGCTTGATGAGTTTTTTGCTTGGGGCATTGGTTTGTTCCAATTTACTCCATTATTATATATTGATGAAACTTCTTGTATGCTTTCATCAGAATTTTTTTAAATACCGGAAGTAAACTTTCAGCGGAGTTCTATGATTCGTGTTCTACAGGAGCCTCCCTTTAAACGTTAAGAATGCTCGTCTAATTTACATTTTACTGATAAAACTTATTCGTTAAAGGTACGCTCACATGTTACTAAATATAGCTTGCTTTTCATTTATCTTTCATTTATCACTTTAAGAACGGACGTTTTGCTTGTTAGGTGTCGGCTTCTGAATAAAATAATTTAATTTCTAGGATTACGATGGTTTAACAGACATTGTTCTCACTGTCTAACGCATCAAACTATCGACTTAAGAGTTTAAAAATGGTTGTTTTTGCTCAAATATGTGAACTTTAGTTATAATATTTTCCTAAAACCATAAAGTGTATCAATTTTGCGGGGTAAAATAATTGGAAAATTTTAAACTTCAATATTTGCTTTGATTAATTTAGTACATGTATTATTTTGCACTGCTTCTCTTTTCGCGCAATATTGTTTCGCCCAACATCGGCCAGTGTGAATAATTGTGTGGAATAGTGATTTCATGATATTATGATCGCATCAGAAGGCACAGATGAACATTAATACCAATAATAATGAATGTTCTATAAATATAATCCGAAAAAATTACCATCAATGATATCTACCAAACTTACCTGAACGACGCTGGTCTACTTCGTTAGACTCGGCAAATGACGCGGTCATGGACTGAAGTCTGGGGGATAAACATCGTCCATTCCGCAGACGAGGGAAATACGACGCGATCACAAAACCGAACCTGAAACAGGGTTCGGTTCTTACCCGAAAAGTAAGAAACAGGAGAGTGTGCCTCGGAGAAGTGCCTATGCGCGCAGATTGGTGGGCTACGGAGGTGCTTAGGCGCGCCGAGGTGGCGGGCGCCGCTGAGGTGCGCACTGAAGACGCTGACGCTGATCTTCGTCGTTGGGGACAACTGACAGCGCGCAAGGAAATCCATGTATGGCAGACGATTTCCCACTACACAAAGTCCGTGCAACGGCCACCAACTGATGAGATTGATAAGTTGGGGAAATTAGTCTTTGTTCTACGTATTAATATTAATGAGCAGCCATGCACCCCGCCCCTGGACTGGAGATGCATGCCTCCCGTGTGGCCCACAGTCAACCTGCCACTTCTCTACCACAGCAATTAAATCAATTTAGTTTACATGAAGTTATTTGTATTCATTGGAATTCCTTACAATTAGCTAATTATACATTTACTACTTTTAATTATTTACTGAACTAAATTACAATTAACTGAAACGTGCCGATAATATATTGAAATAGTTTTAACTAAGGCCAGGGTGAGGCTGACCACGCGCTCTGTCTGTATTCTGTAAGCGTTCGAGAAGACATCGAACAAATGAGTTGCCAGATACCGCCATGCTGAGCGACTTTGGCTGCGGTGCTAGCAGTTTAAAACATTGCTCACTTAATATCAAAGACTTCGTTCACTCACGATGCTTCCAAAATTAACAATAGGAATGCAGTAAAAAAGAGAGACATTTTAAATGTTTTTCAGAGTTTTAGTTTCAGAGAAGAATGTGTAGCACTTCTAATTATTTCAGGAAATCACTTGGTCAACGTTAGTTGTTCGGACCGCTCCGGCGATTCTCGTGGTATTTATGCGGATAATACGTTAGTGAATTACATAGGAATATTATTTATTGCTTGCTTGAAATTAACCGAGAAGCTTGGACCAAACCCCAAATTTACCGATAAAATTTGAAGTTGAGTCATGGTACTGGTATTTCTATTGCAAAAACTGGTCAGCATCACGAACCTACTTCATTCGTCGCACGAATCTGCTCGGTCAGTAGGTACAGGTGTCTGCCTCACTAACTCAGCTACTAACTTAAAACATTATACGGCTGGTTTTTAACACGTTCACTGGAATAATAAATTAGGATTCTGAGAGTTGGTTGTTTGGTGAACCTTGCAACATTAGTAAGAGAATGTTGCCAACCTACCTAAAAGTTTCTAAATGAGAATTGTTAGAATGAAAAAAAAAGGAAAAACATGTTCTAGTCACATTCGTCTTGTACGCGAATCCTGATCTTAAAGCTAGGTAGTGGAAGTCTAATATGAAACAGCATCAATCCCTTATGTGAAATTGAATACTGAAATAAAATAATATATCATATTGCTTGAAACATCAGGTGACGAGAAACAAAAATAATGAGATGTGTCTGTCTTCAATCTACGAGTACAATGTAGTGAATTTATCTATAAATTTAAGTTACCGTTTGGTATTAGGTGCAGTAATTATGAAACTTTCGAGAATTTTCCTGCAGATGAGATAAGAAGCTACCACAGCACCATCAGAAAAGCCTCTATCGAGGACCGGCAATCAATTATTATGAACATTTATAATGCAGGAAAATCTCTTGACAAAAAATAACAACCAATGCGCTCGCTGTAAACAATATAGCCAACAACAGGATTTGTGTCTCGCAAATCAACCTTCTATCTTCACAGAAAATATCAACATGATGATTTCTTCACCTCCCTATTGATGTGACCGAAGTCGTCGTATAAAGTGCCAAGAGATGTGCAACCGTAGTGGGCATAGGTTTATTGCGACTGAACAACATCGTACAATTGGTTCCCACATTGACTTTTCCTAACCTCCTGTGGACATCACCTTTAGGTGGTCAGGAATCTATATATAAAGTTTCATTGAAATCGGTTCAGTAGTTTGGAAGATATTGCATGTACGATGAATTATTGCGCACGGCCGTGAGACAGGCCGCGTTTTTGACCGAGAGGTAAGGCAAGAAGGTGAAATAGCTCTCTTGGTTGCAGCTAGGCCGACTTTTATTCAAAATATTTGATCATCGATAATTTTTACCCATATAATGGTGCTCTGAATATGAATTTCTATTGAATATGAATTTCTACTGAATATGAATTTCTTTGAATCCCACGTACGGCGACACTCGGCAATAATTCGTTCCGTTGCAGTTCGCTGTTCAGCCACTGCCGCGGCCGCCCCTGAATCAAACGAGATTACAGCAAGGCAGTGTAGGTGAAGAAGCTACTCGGGGTGAGAAATAGACAGTTAAATATCATGGTTTAGTATCTCACTGTATTTGTTATTACTTATGAAAGCAAAGAAAACTATTTCATGATATTGTAAGTTATTTTTATACTGTAAAACTTTATTGCCATCAATAACACGAGTTGAACGATCCTTTCTCCTTTGCTCCTAGATCTGTGCGATCTTGGCCAAGAGTTCTGCTGACTTGGAGTTGGAGTTACACTTTACCGGTAACCGGCTCCCATACATCTAACTTAAGGTATGTTATCCCTTTTTGAATTGGATTTTACTAATTCAGCACAGTTATTATTTATAACTTTATTTATATTTATAACTGTAGAGTTTTATTTGTACTTCTAATCGATAGGACTATATGTCAAAGTTCCATATCAAGCTTGCAGTATATCACAATTTGGGTGAATTTCCTACTACGTCGGCCGTCCGGCCGTGAAGATGAATCGGATGCACAGCCATTGATAACGAAACAGGTAATATTTTCTACTTTTCCTATTGCCTATTGGACATATCGAGCCAACTTTACCTAGTTGATTTAGTTTAAATCTGGCACCTAAATAGGGTATGGAGCCGTCTACGATATATACAGCACGTATTTAAATTTTCAGCGAAATCTGTGTGACCTCTTCGTTGCCTGCGCGGCTGCGCCCTCGGCTTAGCGCTCGCTTGCCTGTAAAGTGTAAACCAGTGGTTCCCAAAGTGGGCGATATCGCCCCCCTAGGGGCGATAGAAAGATTTTGGGGGGCGGTAAGGAAGAAGAGGGCGTTTGGGGGGCGATAGGGGGCGGTTGTCCGAAGTCGAAGTCAGAAGTTCGAACGTTTGTTTGACGATTTGTACACAACACGTGCAGCACATGACTCCCAGCGATGGTTTTTTCACCCAGATCTGTTTTTAGCGCATTTACTCATTTATGGAAAAAATGCACTATTATGCTCGCCATGTCCGTCCGTCTGTCCGCCTGTATGTCCGTCCGTGACTTCACGTTTTCGTCGACGAGAAAATGCGCTCTCTGTCACTCACTGCAGTAAGTATACCGAGTTATATTATTTTAACCTCTCCTGGGTTTACGTCTCCGACAAATTAACGGCCGGACTCGCGGCCGGTCTCACGGCCAATTTCCAAATTCAATGATCAAGGAACACCTCTCAAAATAATAAACTTAACTCGATGAAACTTGGTACAAGTATTCATTATGACCTAACGGTAAGGTAAAGCTCGTGAAAATTTTTTGAATTTTGCCTTCAATTGTTTTTGCCATACTTATATTGCAATACGGGCCGAATTCACAGTGATCAAGGAATTTCTTCCAAATTACTGAATAGATTCGAACGAAATTTTGAATTTACAGTCCTAACTACCGAACGGTGATGTTTAGCTCGTGAAAATTTTCTCGATTGTGCCTTCGTTCGCGAGTTTCATTCGTGATTTAAACAGCAATACGTGCTTAAATTCGCAGTAATCAAGAAATTTCTTGCAAACTACTGAACCTGTCTCTTATACACATCTAGATGTGTATAAGAGACAGGTCCTGAATGGAACACCTAGCATATTTCCGCCTAGCCACCAATCAGCCGCGGATTAANGCTGCTCATGGCTGCAGGTCGCGGGAATACAGACAGGTGCGCAGGTGCTGCTCATGTCTGCAGGTCGCGGGAATACAGACAGGTGCGCAGGTGCTGCTCATGGCTGTAGGTCGCAGGAATACAGACAGGTGCGCAGGTGCTGCTTCGTGACACTTGTGGACTGAAAACTACTGCCCTGAACACTCAAAGTTGCCGAGACAGTCGAGACGATATGGTGCACGAGATATGGGCGTCTCGATGATTACAAGCTTGCATTTGATCTTGTTAGCGGAAATTTCTTAATTGCAGTGCGGTACTAAGACAGTAGATTTGAGTAATAGAATAGAACTAAATTATTGTGGAGTTTTCTTCGCTTTTAAATATCTAGTGAATCTGCGATTCAAGCAATCTAAGTGAAATTATTAAGAGAACTTCGATTTTATCAGTTGCACGGGGTTTCGTATCTACTAGCTACTAAATTATAAAATCACTCTATTGAAAATATTATTCTTTAATTTGTACCGAGAGTGATGACTGAATTCAGGACTAGGCTCGTAATTTCGGAAGCGAGAGAATGATTCAAAATGAAATTTTTCGAAGGCGCCTAACTTAGAAGCAAGTGAGAGGTGAAGGCTGAGAATTTCTCCTGCGAGCAGCAAAAAATCCTCTTTTACTCACGTTTTACTTGTTGTCATTTCCATCTAATCCATACTGAATTTTTCGTGTCGAAGAAATGAAACTTGAGGCTCACATCGTTACAGTTTAAAAACAGAAGGATATCGCTAAAATGTATACGTCATTTAATTTTATCTGTACGATTATGTTCATTAGTTTCATCTCGTGTGCAGGCGACAGCCCGGCCTCCATGCCCCCCGTGGACCCCGCGCCACCGCCGGAGGAGGGCGGCCGGCCGAGACCTGCGGCGATCGGCATCGACTTCGTGACGAGCAAATGCTGCGTGGCTGCGGTGCGCGACGGTCGGGTGGACGTCCTGGAGAACGAGTTGGGGCAAAGAACGACGTCTTCCTGTGTTGCCTTCAACTCCCAGCAGCGACTAGTGGGCAGCGATGCCCTGGACCAGGCCGTTGTGAACTGCGCCAACACCATGCACGCCGTCAAGAGCTTCCTGGGGAGGACCTACGACGAAGTGAAGGACTGCCATTCTCCTTGTCATATTCAACCAATTCTTAAGGGTCATAGATTCAAGTACGTCTTCCAGTACAAAAATCGTGATCAGAGGCTGAGACCCGAGCAGGTGGCCGCCATACTGCTCGGGAAGATGAAGGACATCGCGGAATCCTCTCTGGGTTGTCCCGTGGACCGCGCGGTCATCTCGGTACCGGCTTCGTTCGGCAACGCGCAGCGACTCGCGGTAAAATACGCCGCGCAAGTCGCAGGAATAGAAGTTCTTCAGCTGATTAACGAAACAACCGCGGCGGGGGTCGCCTTCGCGGACTACCGTACCGTCAAAACCCCCGCGGTTATCGCGGTGGTGGATTTTGGGGCGGGCAAGCTGGATGTGTCCATCATGGAGGTGAGGGATGGAACGGTGCAAGTCATGGCTGCTGCTGGAAATCCTCAGCTGGGTGGCTATAACATCGACCACTCATTGGTTGACCATTGTTTAGCTCTAATTCAGGAAAAACATAACTACAGAGTATAAGATAAGCAGCAGCTGGAACGCCTGCGCGTTGCGTGTAAAAAGCTAAGAATACTCTGACTTTTTTTCCTGAAACTCAGTTGATGCTTGAGTGTCTCTTCTTCAGCATAGACGTAAGCCTCACCGTCAAGAGGAAAGACTTAGATTTACTCATTGAATTTGCCATCCGCCGTGAGGTAACAAGCATATTTGATCATCTTCTCCGTCAGGTATCATTAACCAAAGATGTAATCAGCAAGGTTGTGCTGGTCGGTGGTTCAACACGCGTGCCGCTGGTGCGGGCCGTCCTCGAGGAATATTTCGGTCCGGGAAAGTTGGACCAAACGGTGAACAAAAACGAGGCTGTGGCCCAGGGCGCCGCCTTACGGGCTGCGACATTAATTGGACAAGAATCTGGGACTTCGATCGATGTCCAAGACGTGACATCTTTCCCTACCTTTGGTGGCGATAACAGCAAGGAATTCGTCGATTTGTTCGAGCGCATCCCGTTGTCCCGAAATATCAATATTACCTCCAGCAAAACTTCTTACATGCGGAACTTATATGAACGTTGCAACACAGGAGGAAACAATAAAACCTTTCAAGTTTCCAATTCCCGCAGCAATGAGTTTTTCAGTCTCGCTGGCCGTGGTTGTTTAGCCGTGAGCGTCGACGCAAGTGGTATACTTGAGGTTCACGCAGAAGTAAATGGCAAAATTCTTGATGGATTGGTGATGTGCACAAATTACTGTTCTCCAGGTGTGATAAAAGAATGGATTGATGTAGCTAACAAATTTCGCAAGGACGTTGAAAACGAAAAAGATCGCGTTGATGCTGAGACGCAACTAAAATCCCTGGTCTACGAAGTTAAAGCGGCTCTATGCGATGTCCAAGGGTTACTATCGAGTGGAGAAATATCTGAGACAACACATTTGTGCGACGCCACTCTCGATTGGATAGAAGACGCACAGGCGGCTCCGCTTCAAGATTTTGAAGTCAGGATATCGAAATTGGCACAAGTTAAAGAAAAATTAGACAGGATCAAGTTACTTGCTGTGGAACCTAAAGAGGAAGTAGACAGTTTTCAAAATGAATTTCTCGACAAAAGTAAGAAATTTGTGGAAGAAAAGGCAAGAGAATCTAGTGTGAACGTTCAGAACCACGGATTGAACAGTAAGTTGTCTCACATGTCAAAGGATCAATTCGAAGAAACCCGTAATGATGGAGTCTCTAACGACAGAACAGCTCTGTTGTTCGCTTCCAAGGCCGATAACCGATCTGATAACGGGGATGCTAAAAGTTTGTCTTATAAAAATGTCGCCAATAATTCTACTGCATCAAAAAATCTTGAAGCTACCGAAACGAATGCCTCAATTTTGACTGAAAACAATATAAAGAAAAGCGAAGTTGATAATCAGACCTCATCTAGAGGAGAACCATTACACACCTGTGAAATTTATTCTTTGGGATATGATGTTCAGAGCTCATCGTTAAGAATGGAATCTGTAGCAAAATGCATGACGGATCCCAGTGCAAACGATTTGCATCAAAAGATGGACAAGAAGACAAACGATCTGCATCACGAGATGGACAAGAAGACAAACGATATGCATCACGAGATGGACACGACGACAAACGATCTGCATCGAAAGACAGGAACAGGAACCCGCGGCCATCATCGAAGGACAAGGACGAAAATTCTCGATTCGTTGGCAAAGATAGAGAAGCAAAAGCTTCCTGTTCCGCAGAACGCGGTCGTACCTTGACTACGGACGAGTCAATTCATTCGACTCTGCCCAAGTCTCAATTTCTTGGGGAGGAATTTGAAATATCGCCTCCACGTCGATACCGGTCAAGCTCGCTCTCGAGCAAACTTCCTCTCACAGCAAAAACTTCGTATGTTCAAGGGACCCAAAATGGCACAGAGAAAATTAAGATGGCTGATCATTTAATTGCCAAACGAAACATCGTATCGACAGTCCTTGCCACACAAATGGCCAGTAAAGGGTTCGAAGGGACGAATGCTGGATCAGACGGCAAGTTTTCTGTGACTTTTCTCTCAGGGACACAAGAATCTATCTTGAACAACAGATCTGCGCTGCCAAATAAAACTTCTGCTAATAGTATGTTTCCGCAACTAAAAGCTGGTATCGTTAAAGCTCCGCCGCAACAGCCACCATCAAACCCTGACGGATCAGCTGGCTTTTTGAAGCAAAGAGATGCTGAGAGTCAAATGTCTTCCAGTCCTAAACACGTTAAAAGTTATGTCAACACTGATGAGTCGACTGAGTGTTATCAACCAGCCTTTGAACCAACAAGCCAGAACATATTCCGTAAGGCACCCACATTTTGTGAACATATTTTTCGCAAAAATAATTCAAACCCCAGATATTTTTCTGAAATCAAAGTCGATTTACACAGACAATTGGAAGAATTGCTCTGCTCGATGGAGACCGAAATTTTGCATCCTGACAAAATTCACGGTGCGGTCGAAACGTCCTCCACCTCAAAACCCAGCAGCTTACGTCAGACTGAGGGAAGCTTTGCACAAAGCTTCTTTAATTTAGGTATAAATGACAGCAGCGACGAGGAAAAAATAAAAGTTGACTCTTCATCTTTAAGCGATGATAGGAAGTTTTTCACCCCTAGAGACTTTTCCAGCGAAAGTTCCCGCCATGTACTTGAAAATTCTGAAAATACTGAGAACAGATTCTCGAACGAGGTTCTCAGGCCGCCGTACCAGCAGGTTTACAGTGATAGGATGCCTCATCGTGGAGGCAGTGGGATCAGATATTATTTGCGGAGTCAAAAAAGTGTTTTGGGGCCATCGCGTGGACATGTTCCTAAGCTCGTACATTTATACGAGACTCGCGATGCACGAACTGCAGTTGAAATTCAAGCATCGGAGAAAAACTAACATCTAAATTAGAGATGAATGTTTGGGAACACAGCGCCATTACCGTTGAGGCGAAAGCGAACCGCGCGGCACGAATGTCAGCGCGTGCAATTCAGGAATATCAGGGCGTACAGAAATGTTTTATCATCAGGAAGTTTTTTCCTTGTAGTTTGTAAAATACTTGTTTAGTCCTAGAGTTTAAAAAATGAATAAATTCCACCTGCTAGAAATAAAACTGCAAAGAGGAGTCACTGGATTTGTATTAATGGGACTCCGTTCGTTTCATTGTTTGTATAATGGCTTCAGTTATAGAATTTGAAGAAATTCTTAATTTATCTTCATTTTTTTTCTAAGTTTCGAATTTCGTGAGGCGTCTTATTTTATATTATTTCTATTGATTTTTTTAACATTTATTGACTTTGATTAGCATCTATCCACGAGTGTTTTCATCACCAGATATTTATATCGTGAATGTTGTGGCCTTGCGTCTCGAGATTTATAAGATTGATTGTACGGTTCAAAATGATTTTTTACGGCTACCTTCGGTTTACCCCAATGTTTCTTTACAGACTCATGAGATTTGTTTTATTTATGGTGATGGCATGTGAGCCATAATTTGAAGCGCTAACTAACTTAACTTCACAATAACTTGCCTTCATTTGAAGCTGTTTAATTCGATACTAACCTGAACTGCAGGTCCTCCGCCCCACGACCTGCAGGGCGCTCGTAGTAATGGCGTCTGAATAAATATTTATGATATTGGATGTTTGCAAATCATATAGAATAGAATAGAAGTGTCGGCGCTGAAGAAATAGGCCCATGGCCTGTTGCCGATTCTTGAACTTTTCGTGACTTGATTCACAAGGGATCCGGCCTTTGGAACCCGATCTTTCCATAGCTGACGATTGATTGAGATAGCTGCTGGACTTATTGCCTGGTCCGTAATTTGCTAGGCATTTTAAGACTGAACATATGCTCCTGCATAGCTTCGTCTAGTCTGTTTTTGAAGATGTTCATACTCGGAGCGTCAACGATGCTATCAGGTAGGCTGTTCCACATGTCGGTGACTCGAAGCGAGAAGAAATGTTGCCGCATATGGATGTGTTCCAACGCAGTTTTTTTAGTTTATAGCTGTGGCCCCTGGTGTTGGTTCTTATGTTGATCACAAGTAAATTATGAGTTTAAAATTTAATTCTGATTGAATAAATTTGCACGATTGAATTTTGATTGTGAAAGTCAATTGTTCTGTCGTAGTCAGTGTCTCGTAGAGGAATGGTGCGTGACGAAATGGACAGGAAGATTCTTACGCTATTTTGGCATTATTCATTTGTAAACCATCACGCTGGAATATTACCTGTTTTCGGCTTAGTATTTTGGCTAGCGCGCGGTGTCACTGCGCTGTTTAAGTATTTCCTTCATGTTTTGTTTCTGTAATTTCAAGTTATTCTTCTGATTGATGTTCGTACAGATATATCTCAGAATTTTCGATTTATATTCATATGTCTCAAACGATTTTTTGAACCCAACTTTCGCCAATTTCTAAACAAAAAATGTTCAACCAAGTTGAAAATGTTACAATAATCAGAAATGTTTGCAGCTTTTTAAATTCAGAAACAAATTGCCACACATTCAATGAAGCAATATCCAAGCAGAACGAAATACAAGTTGTCTTTTAATTTTGTTTTCGACTAGAATGAACGGACAACCTCCATATATTTTTCATTGATTATAGACTTTATCCTGAAAATTCACAAGATTTCATGTATTCTTGAATGATGCGCACATTTTACGTGTGAGTTTAGAATAATTCTCACCTAAAGCAAGAGAATAAACGATTTTCACAATATAATTGTAATGCCCTATAAAGAAACTAACAACCACAACTTATTTCAAATATCCTAACATTCAATTATCATCATTCTCAATTGATGTCCTCAATTATTTACTAATCAATAATTTAACAATATTCTACACGGGTGAATAGCATGCAATACATCCCACTCAACTGATAATGACAAAAGTTCAGCGAAATAAACTAATTTATGACGGTTAAATCGACAAGAGAGTGCGAAGTATGGCTGAGGTGTGAAGTTGTTATTGACATTGAACTTGTAATCTTCACTATTTGAACACTTCACGCTATATATTAGATACTATGGCCTATGAGTAGCATATACTTTTCAACGAGCGAAAAATAAACTTATGCGATTGATAAATTGCAGTCACTCAGCCTATTATATCCAAGGGTATCAGTCGGCGATTCTAATTTGCTAAGAATTAAAAAGAAAACGTTCGAGGGGGAGGAACTGAAAAAAAATCCTTCAAAGCGATTGGTAATCTGGGTGTTAGGTCAACCATTTCGTTCTGCTCGACGGCGTTCTCTCGTTCCGACGACCGAGCGAGAAAAGCACCACAATTAGTTACAAATATATAAGAGTTTGCTCTGGAAGAAAACTTCTTATTAGGACACACGATTTAAACTTGTCGAGAGCATGGAAGGCGACCTGCACTACTGCTCTCTTACAAAGCAAAGTTTGTGATTCAACAGGAGAAGCAATCAACAATGCACGAAGAAGCTGCCAGCCGTTGCCATTTGAGCTCGCTTCTAAGGCATCGCGCAGAATCAGCTGTTTTGTTTCGTTATAGTTCATGTTTGCATACAGCAATTCGTGTGGTAGTAAGTGATTTGTATCAATATATCTTTGATAAAGTTTACATAAATATTCCAGTGATTTCATATTCTGTAATTATGGGAAAGAGAGCGATTATGTGATTGCCTTGCATCGGAAGTAGGAGCACAGAGCAATATCGTGGGACAGTCCCATATCAAGGAGATAATTAAATACAAAGGCCCATACAAGGGATATGGTGCAACAGGTATAAGACAGTCTAACATAGAGGAGATACAGCAACATGAAGAGAACAGCCTAACTTAGATGAAATCGTGTAACGGATTGTCCAGCATAAAGAACATGGTGTGATATGAAGGAAAAAGTTCAACATGGAGGTGCATACCGACGTATAGGAGTTGGCGAAACATAGCGGGGCAATCCAACATATTGATGATCGTGCAACATGGAGAAAACAGTCCAACATACAGGAGAGAGGGTAACATTGAGTGTACAGAACAATAGAGAGGATATAGTGGAACATGAAGGGGACAGTCCAACATAAATAATGGCAACATGGATGGTAAGGACTTCCATCAAGAACGGCAGCCATAAGCTGCGGCCACACTAGAATTACCGTCAGTTTTACCTGCCTGGTAATGGGCTCAAAACCTTGATTTTTTTTAAACCTTGATTTTTAAAAAATTTTTAAATAAAACTGGCATCATTTTTCACCAAACAAGAATACTACATTTAAGTACATATTTTTCAGCTATGTGAGTAGCCACGCGGTGCCGTGACCGCGTGTAATTGTTCACTCTCCACGACTGTCAGATGACAACGCTTTAATTATTATACGTTAATTAGTGAACAACACGATTAAATTTCAACGAAGCTGCAATTAAAAGAAATAACTTTTACACTAATTTTGTGTAAATTTTTAACTTATTAGAACTCACCGTCGCTACGTAGAAATTTCTTGGCAGGCTGAGTCAGGAATGAATAATGCTGAATAATGCTCATGCCTAGAAAGTTCAATTATTTTTCATGCCCTACATTTGGATTACTGAATTTCTTATTGTATCATAAAATTACTGATATATTTTGGGGAAAATCGTTGATGCGAGTCGAAAAAAATGTAGTTTTTAAGAAATTTATAGATTCAAATTGTTTATATTTTTTAATAATGAACCTTTAACAAGAGAACTACTCATGTAATGAAATTCATGAATATGATATATAATATTAATTATATTATATATTATAATTATATTTTCATGAAACGAAATGTACAGGACGTAACAAGCGGACGCTATACCCTTCATTTAACGAAATGTACAGGACGTAACAAGCAGACGTTATGCCTTCATTTAACGAAACGTACAGGACGTAACAAGCGCACGATATGCCTTCATTTAACGAAATGTACAGGACCTGTCTCTTANAAACGTACAGGACGTAACAAGCGGACGTTATGCCTTCATTTAACGAAACGTACAGGACGTAACAAGCGGACGATATGCCTTCATTTAACGAAACGTACAGGACGTAACAAGCGGACGTTATATCTTCATTTAACGAAACGTACAGGACGTAACAAGCGGGCGTTATACCCTTCATTTAACGAAATGTACAGGACGTAACTAGCGGACGTTATACCCTTCATTTAACGAAATGTACAGGACGTAACAAGCGAACGTTATACCCTTCATTTAACGAAATGTAGCCGAACCTTAGCCGAACTATATGGTTCGACTAAGCCGCTAAGGCATGTAAGTCAGTGACCAGACTGTGCTAGCGTCTTACAATTATGTTTCATACTGGAGCAGTAAACACGGCAGGAGTTCTCCTCATTTATTGCATCAAGGTTTTGAGACCAGATTACGCACTGTATTACAGATTTTTAAATGAGTATGGCAACTGGAGTTACTTGATGTTACAATGTTCTAGGTCGATGCTAAAATTATGAATATGTAACTAGTTCATATCTAACAGTATTATAATGCTATATTTGTTGTTAATGTTGCGGTTGCCCTAATTATAATGAACATGAAATTTAGGAGATTTGGTACATGTCCCTTGGACGTTTGGAAAGTCTCATACTGCAGTAATTTTTAATTTAGTCACCCTGTAAAATTATTTCATTTTATTTCGCATGAAGATGATTTCATATCAAATATATCACATGAAATCAGAATTACTAAAATTCCATGTATAAATTCAAAGAGAAATTTTTAATAGTTTTTTCGAAATTCTGAATAATAAGTCACATTTAGGTCTTACTGAATTATCTGTACCATGTTGGTTGATGTTATTAGGTGGCATAGCGCCAAATTTCCTTGCAGTAAATATCTGATTGGAAAATATTCTTAATTAAATTTTGAGTCCCTAGAGGGCTTAGTGCATTATCTCGGGATGAGTTTATACAATTGCTGTACGTAATAATCTATAACCATTAAATTCGTACACCACGTAGTATGAATACATCATGTATTGTTCTGTATATATGTAATGCATTCAGTCATCTTTACCAAGAACCCGGGTGAATTCATTATACTAGATGTTGAAGAAATTTTTCTTAATTCTCGTCATAATTAATTAGCAGAAAAAATCATGCCCCCTCCCTGGCTGTCGCAGAGAATGTCAGGAGTCTTGGCGTGGAAGGAATTGGTCGTTGGCAGCGTTTAAAACAAGTCGCTTCGTGTTCTGTATACGCTGCTCATGTTGAAATTATTTCACCTCAGGGATACAAATTTGAATTTCTTTTCGAACTTTGCACAACGCAGCCGAGGTGCGCAGGAGCCGATATTGAGGTTGTGCGCGTGTGCTGGGGTCTCCCAGGTTTGGCCAGCCGTAATTATAGTCCTTTAACGTGGACCCCAACAAAGGCTGGTAATGAAAGACTCTTCGCAAATCCACTCTCTTCAATTTGAATTCCGTAACTCTCCTAAGTAGGAAAATAGCAAAAAATAAATAACCTAAGGTAACAAATAAACGAACAAAAGACAAAGTATGAATAAACATTTCTCATGAATAATCTAATGTAACTATGCAGAAAACAACAAAATATCACATTGTCACATTGATATAATCACTAATTGAAAAACAAGCGAACAAACACATTACCAAGTTAACACGCACCTTGACTCTGTGGGTTCAAATGCGGGACTGACTAGAATGGACGGGTACCAACGAAAACCATTGCAAGACCACCGACACGAATCATTGCTTGGCATCGCTGTTATTTTCAGATGCAAACAATGCGACAACCTTTGCATGTTGTGTTTGATGCACAGGAAAAGAAATGAAGAGAATTAAGTAGCAGCGGATGACGAATAAAACTTTATTTCCATGTGATTGGGCTTGGGTTGAGTCACAATCGTGAAGCAAGTGTAACAGGCAACAAATGTTATACTTGCTTGCATCGATCAAAATAAATGATGGAATATAGTTATCCAATACAAGCAAGAATAAACGAGTACAGCAACAATGAGAGGAAAATAATAGCTACAACAAGATGATAATCGCAGCAGGTACGAAAAAAATAAAACCGTAGTACCTAAAGAAATTAGTTAAACAGCAAACAGCTCTTGCATGCGTCCGATACTTAATACATGTTCTCACAGGTACCGCAAGAAGCGTCCAACTTTGAATGATGAATGGTTATCTATAATGTATGGGTAACTACACCAGCTACTGAGGATAATACAGTGAATTATTACTATTTCTTTGTAACCAAAATTGAAAATCTTGCAAACTCCGAATTGCTTATAACTAACGAGATTTATCACATTTTTATCTACATGAAGCTCGCTCCACTCATGAGAGGTTGTGGATGCCAAATTTCCTTATTTTACAGTTCATTTCCAATGTAAGAGGCTTGAATTAAATGATTAAATTTTTAGATGAGTTCGTTTCAGGCAGCGTTTAGTGATAGTCTGATTATTGATAAATTTTCAGTGCTAAACTCGCGATCATATTATAATAAAATAAATAATAGCGTCAGCGTTTATTAGGCCGTAGGCCTGTCGCCGATTCTTAACATGACGGAATATTCACAGCATGTTGCGGTCTCGAACTCGCAACTCGCTGCTACAATTCTGCTGTGCTTAACCGCCCGGCCTCCTCGCCGATTCTGACCAGAAACTGGCGCACAGAGCTGGGATCGAACCCGCGCCTCTCTGCTCCAATCTTGGTACTCAGGGCCTATACTTTCGAAAAAAGTTAAGAGATCGCAAGTTCATCAGCCAATCATCGACGTCCTTTCAAGCAAAGTCCACAATCATAGACAAGAAAATAGAGCGTAAGTACTTACGTTCACTTAGCGAGTTTTGAAAGTAAGGCCCCAGAACTGTAACAACTGGGTCGCCCTTTTACGACTGCCCGAACTTTTTAATCTATGAATGTCGTAGCACTACTACTGTCGACTGAGACCCACATAGAGCATTGCCGCCTGTCATTATATTTGTATTACTGGCAATATGATAGCGCTGCTAATTTGAGTGGATACAATTGAAACTTCATGGAAACTTTCTTCGCGACTTTTCGTGTTAGGATGTGGGACTGTAAAAACTGAGGCCTGCAACAAGTACGAGCCTGATAGGGTTGTATTATCATCTCATTTTTCTCGGCAATTCTAAAATTATATGTAATCTCAAAACTTGATACGGGCAAAAATAATCGGATAAATATTTTGATATATCAATGAGTATCAAGAATACGACGAAACACCTGAAGTGTCTCGCACCTCGACAAGAATTTACGTTGATTTTCGCCACGTCAATAATGTCGACTTAAGAAAGCATAGAAGAAAGCCCAGCGAAAAACATAAACAATTTTGACTTCGGAGTAAGCGACAAGATGAGCGTGGAGAGTTCCGGCGCTGCTGAGGCAGTACAGGATCATTTGGATGTGGGCGATGAAGCAAAATGTTGGAGAGGTGATGAAGTCTATATAGGATATGAAGTCTATATAGTATATGAAGTCTATATATGCAGGTTTGGTTGAAGACCAGAGCGTTTGGTCTTCAACCAAACCTGCATAAATGAAGAACTTCTGCCTAACTACACTAATATTCGAAGTCTATATAGTATATATATCCATAATCATTGGCACTTATCACAGATATTCATGAGATAAGTGCCACCCCTGTGCGTATGGAACTTGATTCAGAAATCAAAGCATCAGAAATTCAGCATTAATGCGAAGATGAATTTGAGAACGAATTCGCTTTAGTTAATTTTGACGAATCCTTCGACAATTTTGATGAGAACAACGAACAGAATGGACATTAAAGTAGCCGAAAAATTTGCCGGTGTCAGTGTGCAGTGCGATCGTCGGAAATTGAAAAGCAGTACCAAGTCATAGAAGATAGTCAGCGGGAAAATACAAGAAAATCATGGAAACATTTTCGGTTCTTGCAGAACGAGTCCGAGAAACTCATGGATGGAAAATTAAGCAAAATCGATGTCATCGAGCAGGCTATTTCTGATTTGTACCAACTTTACGACGAGCAGATTTTCGGAATGAGACGGCGGCTGGGTCAACTTGAGGTCGAGGTAGGGCTGCTTAATGAGCGACTTAAAATCAGTAATATTCTCTGTCACATTAGGGACAACGCTAGAGCAAGTCAACAAAATTTTGGCTCATAAAAATCCACGAAAAGTGAGTGGAACCTCCGAAAAAATTGTGCGATGACCAACAAAGAGAATTGGTGCAAGATTTGCGATTTTGGATTCTCAACGGAAGCGGATGGTTGCAGGAAGCACCGAAAACGAGACGACAAACGCAGCGGGCAATAAACCATCACAGATGACACGATGAAGAGGTCTGCAACTGATTTCAAGTCAAACGAAAGGACGAACATAAAGAAGGATATTACAGACCCTGGAAAACAAAGCAGCGTGAGTGCGGATAATGCTAATAATTAAAATAAATTCAGTGAAACCCCCAGCACATTTGATGAATGTTGTTTTGAAAGTAAATAGTCGACCGCCCTCGCACTGCATACACAACCTGATGCTGACCCTGACAGCTCTTCACAAAGCGGTCTGGTCGTCTCACGGAATTCGGACTACATTTCAGATTCTCAATCAACGGAAGATCAATCAAAGGAATTCCAGAGTGAGGAGTCGTGCGATGAGTCTCAAGAGGTCTACTACATACCATGTTATGGACCGGGTGCATATTTGGAAGTTTCTGATGACAGTGTCAGAAGTGAGCAACACTCTGGCTTCCTGTTGGGTCGGATGATCAGAAAAGAGGCCGTTTGGTTAAGGGGCAAGGAAGCTAATCTAAATCATTTACCAACTAATCAATAGGATTTTTATGAAGATGGTGATAATTAAGGCGCAGATGAAGTTGATGATGAAGACAAAGACGAAGTTGATGATGAAGGCAGAGACAAAGTTGCTGATAAAAGCGGAAACGGAGTTGCTGATACAGGCAGAGACGAAATTAATGATGAAGGCAGCGACGAAGTTTATGATGAAGGCAGAGACGAAGTTAATGATGCAGGCAGAGACAAAGTTGATGATGAGCAGAGACGAAGTTGATGATGAAGGCGGAAACAACGTTGCTGATGTAGGCAAAGACGAAATGGAAGATAATTGCGACGAAGAGAAATAGGATACTGATCGACGAGGAAAGTCGCATCGGCGAAAGTACCGACGATGAGGATTAATTTTCTTTGATGGATAGCAACTGAATTTTTTGTACCGTGCTTGTCAATTTGAAGTTATTTTTTTGTGAATCTGTGTTTTGTTTACAATTCAAAATATGTAAACAATCTAGCGCGTAAAGCTACGTAATAAGAAGGAAAAAATTTCATTCTGAGAAAATTGAAGCAACGGCTTCTTAAAGAGTAGTTATTGAGCTTGAGTCTTTCAACAAGATAATTCAGCTCATAATTGAATATCGATGATTGAGTAATTATTCAAAATACAAATATTGAAGATAGATAAGATTTAAAAATCAACTTAGTTCGGTCGTTCGCACCGATTATTTTTGTTCTAAGTTGATTGTTCAAAACAATAAAAAATATTAGGAATCTGGATTGAAAAATATTGATAAAGCTAAACGATTGCTCGATAATCTTTCAAAAATCTCTTGAACAAGATTTGTTAGAATAAAATCTTTTCATGATAATGTGAATACGAAGTTTTATGTAAAATCAGTATATTTCATAGCTGTCTATGATGAAGAATGGGCCTGTAATTAATACGATGTAAAATAGAGTAGTGCGCCGACTCTGACTGAAATAATGTTGAACTTTGAAACTCTTCAACACGTCTAATGTGTACGAAGAACACTACATTTATTAAACCTGCCAATGTCTTATGCGAAAATGAGCGGAAATATAGTTTTAAACTGATAATGAAGTGGTAAATCCTATGTAGATATTTCATCTAGTATATTAACTGAACTAGGGAATTTATTTTACTTTTCGAACAGAATACTCACGAAGGTAATTAAGTAAAAGAGACGAGGATTCATTTTAAATTATTAATGGATAAGGTTTAATGATCCTTGGTCCGTAAAACTTACCTGACGCTGTAACAAGGCCGGTAGTGAAAGGGTTTCCTATTTGAATGCTGCAAACTAAACCCCATCAAGACTTGAATACTTTCGTATGAAAATTTTTATATTTCCTACTCTTAAACTTCATACTTTTTTCATTTTTAACTTTTTAAGTATCTAACAACCACGCAAGTTTATGATATTCCTAAACTCCAAAGTGAGTGGCTGTGTGTTCACACAAGTTTGAAATAACTCTGTTTAGTGTTTAGCCGAAATGATGTATATATTTAATGAGAATTTACGAATTTATTTCCCATGTCTATATCGCCGCACGCATCAACGAAGAAGTTGTACGATTTGAGCTTAGGCGCATGAATAGGAACATTTTCATGGAGAATTTCCTTGTGAAGCATTTCTGATCGACTTGACGAGTAAAAACAACTAATGGTGAAAGCCATGGGTAACTTTATTTATAATTTTATTGATGCGTTGCTTACCTAACATGATTTCGAAAATCATTCTGAGTTGAGATGAACTAAGATTTGCCTCACTAACATTTGCTTGATGTAAAAATGTGGTAATCATCAGTAACTTGAAACTTGCTAAAAGTTGTCACTCGAACCAACTACAATGTTATATTCGATACATTATATTTCTTTGCATTGTAAAAGCGTATGTGAATTATAAAGTATAGAAATATTTTGCTCGAATATTTCACTAGAAAATCTCAGTGAAAAAATTACATTTGCATATTTGAATTCGCCTATCAAAGTATTTATCTGTAATGCCAAGAGCGGCACTAATACATTACTTTCAGTGTTATTCCGCAATTATTGATTAATTAACATTTTGACAAACTTTATAAATTAACCTGTACTCGCGAAAATAAGAAAATTGGAATAGAATTAGGATTTGCTCATTTATTAATCATTCATCTTACGCCTCAGTAATTCAGTTGAGGTCATACTAATAATCATACTACTTATCAATAATTAGTCATAATCATAATCATAGTAATCAGTGAGGATTGCAAATAATCATCAATGGCTTACATTTATTTGCATTATGTCTAACAAAATATGTTAAATTCTATGTTAACATTCACGTGCCGGTAAATCAAACCCTGGTTGCAATACCCGTGGAGTTTTTCTCGCTGTGTGAAACTATGAAATTCACGTACCTGTGACATGCAGTCCGGAAATACGTGAAATAATTCTGAAATTCTAATGGTCTTCTGGTATGAATTTATTTCAATTACATTTTTGTGAGTTTAGGTCTCCTTCTCCGGCCAAATTATTGAATGTGTGACACCTGGGGATACCATCTACGATACATGATACCACCTGTCATACATGATTCCACCTGCCATACACGATACCACCTGCCCCACAGTGTACACACCTGCCCCACAGTGTACACACCTGCCCCACAGTGTACACACCTGCCTCACAGTGTAAGCGCAGGTGCTGCTCATGGCTGTAGGTCGCAGGAATACAGACAGGTGCGCAGGTGCTGCTTCGTGACACTTGTGGACTGAAAACTACTGCCCTGAACACTCAAAGTTGCCGAGACAGTCGAGTGGTGCACGAGATATGGGCGTCTCGATGATTACAAGCTTGCATTTGATCTTGTTAGCGGAAATTTCTTAATTGCAGTGCGGTACTAAGACAGTAGATTTGAGTAATAGAATAGAACTGAATTATTGTGGAGTTTTCTTCGCTTTTAAATATCTAGTGAATCTGCGATTCGAGCAATCTAAGTGAAATTATTAAGAGAACTTCGATTTTATCAGTTGCAAGGGGTTTCGTATCTACTTGCTACTAAATTATAAAATCACTCTATTGAAAATATTATTCTTTAATTTGTACCGAGATTGATGACTGAATTCGGGACTAGGCACGTAATTTCGGAAGTGAGAGAATGATTCAAAATGAAATTTTTCGAAGGCGCCTAATTTAGAAGCAATTGAGAGGTGAAGGCTGAAAATTTCTTCTGCGAGCAGCAAATTATCCTCTTTCACTGACGTTTTACTTGTTATTTCCATCTAATCCATACTGAATTTTTCTTGTCGAAGAAATGACGAAACTTGACGCTCACATCGTTCCAGATTAGAAAACAGGAGGATTTCGTAAAAATGTACTCGTAACTTATTTTTGCCTGTCCAATTATGTTCATTAGTTTCGTCCCGTGTGCAGGCGACAGCCCGGCCTCCATGCCCCCCGTGGACCCCGCACCACCGCCGGAGGGGGCGGCCGGCCGAGACCTGCGGCGATCGGCATCGACTTCGGGACGAGCAAATGCTGCGTGGCTGCGGTGCGCGACGGTCGGGTGGACGTCCTGGAGAACGAGTTGGAGCAAAGGACGACGCCTTCCTTTGTTGCCTTCAACTCCCAGCAGCGACTAGTGGGCAGCGATGCCCTGGACCAGCCCGTTGTGAACTGCGCCAACACCGTGTACGCCGTCAAGAGCTTCCTGGAGAGGACCTATGACGAAGTGAAGGACTGCTATTTTCCTTGTCATATTCAACCAATTCTCAAAGGCCATAGAATCGAGTACGTCGCCCATTACAAAAATCGTGATCAGAGGCTGAGACCCGAGCAAGTGGCCGCCATGCTGCTCGGCAAGATGAAGGACATCGCGGAATCCTCTCTGGGTTGTCCCGTGGACCGCGCGGTCATCTCGGTACCGGCTTCGTTCGGCAACGCGCAGCGACTCGCGGTAAAATACGCCGCGCAAGTCGCAGGACTTGAAATTCTTGAGCTGATCAACGAAACAACCGCGGCTCAGTATTTTGGCTAGCTCGCGTTGTCACTGCGCCGTTTAAATATTTCGTTCATGTTTTGTTTTTCTATATTTAACTTTTTCTTTTGATTCATGTTTGTACAATTATGTCTCATAGATATTTCGGTTTATATTCATATGTCTCAAACGAATTTTTTTAACCCAACTTCTTCAATTTCTTAACAATGAATTTTCAACCAAGTTAAAAATGTTACTACAATAAAAATTTTTTGCATTTTTTTCTTTTTTATATGCAGAAATAAATTGCCACACATTCAATGAAGCAATATCCCAGCAGAACGAAATACAAGTTGTCTTTTCATTATGTTTTCGACTAGACTGAACGGACAACCTCCATATATTTTTTGTTGATTATAGACTTTATCCTGAAAATTCACAAGATTTCATGTATTCTTGAATGATGCGCACATTTTACGTGTGAGTTTAGAATAGTTCTCACCTAAAGCAAGAGAATTAACGATGTTCACAATATAAATGTAGTGCCCATTAAAGAAACTAACAACCATAACTTATTTCAAATATTCTATCATTCAATTATTATCATTCTCTCTTGATGTCCTCAATTATTTACTAATCAATAATTTAACAATATTCTACACGCGTGAATAGCATGCAATATATCCCGCTCAACTGATAATGATAGAAGTTCAGTGAAATAAACTCATTTATGACGGTTAAATCAATGATAGAGTCCAAAGTATTGCTGGGGTGCGGGGTTGTATTGACATTGAACTTGTAATCTTCACTATTAGAAAACTTCACACTATATATTAGATACTGTGGCCTTTGGGTAGCATATGCCTTTCAATTTTTATGCCTGCTGCGATCAATAAATTCCAATCACTCAGCCTATTATATCCAAGGGTATCAGTCAGCTATTCTAATTTGCTAAGAATTAAAAAGAAAAATGTTCGAGGGGGAGGAACTGAAAAAATCCTCCAAAGCGATTGGTAATCTGATTGTTAGGTCAACCATTTCGTTCTTCTCGACGGCGTTTTCTCGTTCCGACGACCGAGCGAGGAAAGGCTCCACAATAACTTACAAATATATAAGAGTTTGCTCTATAATAAAACTGCTTATTAGGACACATGATTTAAACTTGTTGAGAGCAAGGAGGGCGACCTGCACTACTGCTCTCTTGCGAAACAAAGTTCGTGAGTCAACAGGGGAAGCAATCAACACAGCACGAAGAAGCTGCCAGCCGTTGCTATTTGAGCTCGCTTCTACGGCATCGCGCAGAATCAGCTGTTTTGTTTCGTTCTAGTTCATGTTTGTATACAGCAATTCGTGTGGTAGTAAGTGATTCGTATCAAAATGTCCTTTATAATATCCTATTATAATTTGTAAAATTGTATTAATTACAATTGTATTGTAATATCCTTTTATAATTTGTAAAATTGGTGATTTGCATCAACATATCCTTTTACATAAATATTCAAGTGATTTCTTATTCTGTAACTACGGAAAAGAGAGCGATTATGTTGATTGCCTTGCAACGGAAGTAGGAGCACAGAGCAAAATGGAGGGGACAGTACAACATACAGGAGATAGGGCAACATTGAGGATACAGAACAATAGAGAGGATATAGTGGAACATGAAGGGGACAGTCCAATATAAATAATGGCAACATGGATGCTAAGGACTTACATCAAGGCCTGCTGTCATCAGCTGCGGCCACACTAAAATCGTCGTCAGCTTTACCGGCCATGCCAGAGCTGATAGGCTGTCTTAATATCTAGAATGGGATGGAGGGTCGCAGGCTAAAGGGAGGGGGACAGCCAGAGCTGAAAGGCTGTCTTAATATCTAGAATGGGATGGAGGGTCGCAGGCTAAAGGGAGGGGGACAGCCAGAGCTGGAAGGCTGTCTTAATATTTAGAATGGGATGGAGGGTCAGAGGCTAAAGAGAAGGGGATGCGTGCGTATGAAGCGGTCAACCCGCAAACCCATATTAATTTTATCTATAATTCTGGCACACATCAATGCTCAAAATATTGCGTGTGTTGTTATTGCGGCGCTTATGTGGCTAGACTTGCGATTTTTTGTTCGGTCTAATAAAGTCACAAAGAAAACTCGACCATTTGGCGAGATTTATTTCATGGCATTGAACGTTTGTCGGATGATTAAATAAAAATGTTAAGCAAGTCCACACACGCACAACTTAAATATCGGCTCCTGCACACCTCGGCTGCGTTGTGCAAAGTTCGCAAAGAAATTCAAATTTGTATCCCTGAGGTGAAATAATTTCAACATGAGCAGCGTATACAGAACACGAAGCGACTTGTTTTAAACGCTGCCAACGACCAATTCCTTCCACGCCAAGACTCCTGACATTCTCTGCGAGAGCCAGGGAGGGGACATGATTTTTTCTGCTAATTAATTATGACGAGAATTAAAAATAAATTTCTTCAACATCTAGTATAATGAATTCACCCGCGTTCTTGGTAAAGATGACTGAATGCATTACATATATACAGAATAATACATGATGTATTCATACTACATGGTGTACGAATTTAATGGTTATAGATTATTACGTACAGCAATTGTATAACCTCTTCCTGTGATATGCACTAAGCCCTCTGGGGACTCAAAATTTAATTACGAATATTTTCTAATCAGATTTTCATTGCAAGGAAATTTGGCGCTATGCCACCTAATCTTATCAACCAACATGGTGCAGATAATGACTAATTGTTCAGAATTTCGAAAAACTATTAAAAATTTCTCTTTGAATTTATACATGGAATTGTAGTAATTCTGATTTCATGTGATATATTTGATATGAAATCATCTTCATGCGAAATAACATGAAATAATTTTACAGGGTGACTAAATTAAAAATTACTGCAGTATGAGACTTTCCAAACGTCCAAGGGACATGTACCAAATCTCCTAAATTTCATGTTCATTACAATTAGGGCGACCGCAACATTAACAAATTTAGAATTATAATACTGTCAGATATGAACTAGCTACATATTTATAATATTAGCATCGACCTAGAACATTGTAACATCAAGTAACTCCAGTTTTTATAATCATTACATATCTGTAATACAGTGCGTAATCTGGTCACCAAACCTTGATGCAATAAATGAGGAGAACTCCTACCGTGTTTCCTTCTCCAGTATGAAACACAATTGTAAGACGCTAGCACAGTCTGGTCACTGACTTACATGCCTTAGTCGAACCATATGGTTCGGCTAAGGTTTGGATACATTTCGTTAAATGAAGGGTATAACGTCCGCTAGTTACGTGCTGTACATTTCGTTAAATGAAGGGTATAACGTCCGCTTGTTACGTCCTGTACTAGGATTGCAAATAATCATCAATGGCTTACATTTATTTGCATTATGTCTAACAAAATATGTTAAATTCTATGTTAACATTCACGTGCAGGTAAATCAAACCCTGGTTGCAATACCCGTGGAGTTTTTCTCGCTGTGTGAAACTATGAAATTCACGTACCTGGGACATGTAGTCCGGAAATACGTGAAATAATTCTGAAATTCTTATGGTCTTCTGGTATGAATTTATTTCAATTACATTTTTGTAAGTTTAGGTCTCCTTCTGGTGCCAGATTATTGCATGAGTGACACCTGGGGATACCATCTACGATACATGATACCACCTGTCATACATGATTCCACCTGCCATACACGATACCACCTGCCCCACGGTGTACACACCTGCCCCACAGTGTACACACCTGCCCCACAGTGTACACACCTGCCCCACAGTGTAAACACCTGCCCCACAGTGTACACACCTGCCCACAGTGTACACACCTGCCCCACAGTGTACACACCTGCCCCACAGTGTACACACCTGCCCCACAGTGTAAACACCTGCCCCACAGTGTAAACACCTGCCCCACAGTGTACACACCTGCCCACAGTGTACACACCTGCCCCACAGTGTAAACACCTGCCCCACAGTGTACACACCTGCCCCACAGTGTACACACCTGTACTGCATGTCTCCAGGTATCAGGAAACAAGTGTTCGGCTGATGTCTCAGCTGACACACCCCTGCTGTTCACCCCAAACCCAAGTGCAGTTAGCGTCAGTTATTGTTGTCGCTGGCAGCGGCTCGGTGTTGGCGTCTCGCTAATTTCCAGTGAAAAATTACTACAGGAGTAAGATTTTTTACCGTGCGACAGCTGGCCTAAGAAAATTTATATTTGTACGATTGTAAAACTGGCCGGGAAGAGAGCGTAGGTTTTAACGTTCTCTCAGAGTCAAGATTATAGTTTTTCAGTTAAATTTAAGATGGTTTTTGTTACGTTATGTTTTGGCTATAACCATATGTCAAATAAACAGGAGAATACGGTATGAAGACACTGAATTATTATGCCTAGCTAAGTTTCATACAAGTTTCTTATTTTAACGTAAAAAAAATCGGATATAATTCTCGCAATTATTCAAAAGAGAGGCAGTGAGACCGTCAGTTTTCCTTACCTTTATTTATAATTATTTATGTTCCTCTAAGTTTTCATTCGTAACGCATTTCTTCGTATCACTTCCTTCCTTATTCGCACTCAAGTAAAATGATGAAACGTTGCCTTCAAAACGAAACGCAAATGACAACTAAACTTTTTTATCTTAAACATTACAACCGTAGTGTAATTAAAATTTTTGTGCAATCAAGTAATGACGAGAAATTCAAAGTAAATTGAACATACGCAACATTTATAATATAAAACTGAATTTAAGATAGTGCAAATGCACAATTGACGAGTGAAATCCCATAGATCAATAATATATGATTTAAAACCTAGCCTCATATAAGAAACATTTCATGGACAAAATCACGGGCCTTTTAAGGTTTAAAAAAGCTCCTTAAAAAGCTCTTTTTAGAGCATTTTATCATTTACGGAAAAAATGCACTATTGTACTCGCCATGTCCGTCCGTCCGTCTGTCCGTTTGTCCGTGACTTCACGTTTTCGTCGACGAGAAAATGCGCTCTCTGTCACTCACTGCAGTGAGTACTGA